GGGGGGGGGGGGCATGCAGGAGGCACATGGGAAATCTCTGTACCTTTTAACTTTGCTGTGAACTTAAAACTGCTCTAATTAATGAAATTTTATAAAAATAAATACTGGACAAAATATTTGAACATATTCTTCACAAAAGAAAATAGATGAATGGCCATACTGAGCAGATGAAAAGATGCTCAGCATTGTGAGTCATCAGGGAAATACCTCAATTAAACCACGAGACACCATTATGCACTCACTAGAATGGCTAAATTAAAAAGACTGACAATATCAAGTGCTGATGAGGACTTGGAACATCTGAAATTCTCACACATTGCTAGTGGGAATGTCATACAGTATAATCACTTCGGAAAATTTTTTCTATAGCTAAACATACCTTCATTATTTATTACTTTTTAATCCTCACCCGAGGACATACTTATAGAGAGGAAGGGGGGGCAGAGAAACATCAACCGGTTGCCTTTTGTACATGCCCTGACCCAGGATTGAACCCAACGCCAGGTATGTGCCCCTGCCAGGAATTGAACCGGCAATCTTTCAGCACACAGATGACGAGTCACTCCAGCTGGGCGACCTTCACTGTTAAACTCAGCAATTTACTTACCCAAAAGAAATGAAAACATGTCTACACAACAACCTGTGCAGGAATGTTTACAGCAGTTTTATTCATGATGGCCAAGAATCAGAAACAGCCCAAATGTCCACCAATAGGTAAATGGATAAACAAAATATGTTATATCCATACAGTAGAATACTACTCAGAAATACAAAGGAATATATACTAATACATGCAACAACCTGCATGAATTTCAAAAACTTTATTTGGAGCAAAGCCAGGCACAAATGCACACATACTGCATGGATTTATGTCAAATTCTAAAGGCAAATCTGGCCTATAGTGACAGAAAACAGGTCAGTGATTGCTTGGGCTGGGGGTAAGGTGGGTTATTTGCAAAGGGAGATTTTGGGGTGATGTAAATGTTCTACTTTGATTGTAGTGGTCTGGTGGTTTCATGGGTAGATAAATCTGTCAAAACTCATCAAATGTATACTTAATATGGATACATTTTATTGCATGTAAATTATATGTTAATAAAGTTGATTTTAATTTTACTTTTTATTGATTTTTAGAGGAAGGAAGGGGGAGAGAGGGAAAAACATCAGTTTGTTGTTCCACTTACTTATGCATTCATTGGTTGATTCTTGTATCTGCCCAGACCAAGGATTGAACCCGCAACCTTGGTGTACGGGAACAACACTCTAACCAACTGAGCTACCCGGCCAAGGCCAATAAAGTTCATTTTTTAAAAACCAATTCCTCAGAAAATTCTTTTCTGACCATGACCCTCTCAAACTAGGTCAGCCCCACCCCCACCCCCAGGGTATGCACACCCTTCACAACCTGTATGTTTCTTTCACTGCATTTCCCTGAGTTTGTAGTTATGTTTTTATTGGTTTCCTGTTCGTTCACTGCCTCTAGATGGGGAACATTAAGAGGTTCTGAATCCCATCTCTCTCACTCACCACTGTTGCTAGGCACCTGGCACTATGCCTGCACAGAGTAGGTGCTCATTTAATGAACACTCATTAAATGAATGAATACAGGAGCTCGTAAATGAGAGGAAGCAAAGGGCAGAGCAGCAGCTGGATCTGGGCCCCAGCCACAAGTGTGGGGCTACAGCTCTGTGGACTGGATGACCTTATGGCCCCTCCACGTGGGGCCCTGGCTCCGCTTGGGGAAGTTGAGTCTGTGCAATTCTTCGGAGATCTCCAGGAAGGTCTTGCCTTTGGTTTCAGGGAGGAAGAAGCCACTGTAGATGGCCCCACAGACGCAGACAACGAGGAAAGGCACATAGAGGAAGTAGGACAATCCCTCCTATAGGTTAAAAAAGACCCTGAGACTCAGTAGGGCCCCATTCTGCCCCAAGATCAAAGGCCCCATAACAGATTAAAGAGGGACTTGTCCTTCTTTGCTTAGATAGCCCATCCCCTTTAGTCTCAGTCTCCTTGGATGGAGGCCTCCCACTGGGGTTTTCATGCTGACAGGGACAAAACCTAAGGCAGCTCCCCCCAGGGGAGGGGCAGGCCTACCATGAGGAAGGGGAACCCCAGCCCAACCAAGAAGAGCATGGTCCACATGAGCGCCCCGCAGACCATGTAGGCAGCAGGCCGGGCCATCTGGTCAAACAGCTCCGTGGCCAGGATCCCTGTCACTCCAGCTGAAAGGGGGAGAGGCACAGGAGACTGCCAGCTAGGGAAAGTCCCCAGATATGGGAGTGGGGGCCCCTTGGTGTTCTTCCAGCCCCCAGTCCCGATGATGGCATACAGGTGGGGGTGGGGCGAGCAGTCAATATTACATTCACATCCACCCATCTTTCACCCAAATGTCCATGTTCCTTCAGCAAGTCCCAAACCCCAGAGCCCCTTGAGCCCACTCACCAGGGCCAATGCCAAAGCTGAGGATGAAGGCATAGATGCAGGACATGGCCAGGTAGGGCATCCAGGGGAAGGAGCTCTGCAGCAGAAGGATGGGGTGAGGTGGAGATCAGCCAGCATCCAGCCACTCACCCCTCATCCTCACCCAGCTACCTGCAGGCACAGGGCCACTGTGAAGATGATCCCCCAGCAGGTCATCAGGCAGTATCCTGCCACCAGCAGCACCCGCCGGCCCACTCTCTCAATGACAATACACTGCAAAGGAAAGGGGCACTCTGTAACTGGCTCAGGCACCCAGGCTATGGTCCCCTTGGTTTGGGGGTGGGCAGTGGGGAGGGTCCTCATGAGGAAGCGGATGGTGGGGGAGGGACCAGTTTATTGCTTCAGAAGATTAAGGAATTAATTTCCCAGAGGTCACCCAACTTCATTGAGTTTCCTCATCTCAAAATAGTGGCCCAGCAAATAGTAGGTGCTCGATAAATGCTGGCTAACTCCCCCATTTTAACAGAGTGACCTGGAGTGGAGATGGCTTAAAGAAGAGGACTGAAGTCCTCAGGGTGTTGGCATCTCATGTCCCCCCTCTTCCACAGGGTTGGGAAAGGGCCAGCCCAGAGCCAGACTCACACTGACAAATGCTGTGAGCAGCTCGCAGCACCCGGTCCCGATGATGGCATACTGGATCTTCTCCTGGGGGACTCCTGCCTCCCGGAACACAGAAGAAGAATAGGCGTACACCTGGGGGAGGTGGGCACAGGGCCGGCTCTGGGGGCACTGGCTCCCTGCAACCTCCAGGGCTCCCAGGGGCCTGCAGCACGCAGCCCCAGGGCTAGGGGGCCTGAGGGTGGGGGGAAATAGGGTGGGAACCTCACCGAGTCGTTCCCGCAGAGCTCCATGGCACTGCTCAGGACTACGAGGCTCAACACCTGCCTTCGTAGGGTGCGATCCTGGAACAGCTCCCAGGGGCGCCGTGCTCGCAGGCCCTGGCAGGCAGTGTGCTCCTCCTCCAGCTCTGCCAGCTCCAATGCCAAGTCCTTGGCGCCCCGCAGCCGCTGCAGTGCTGGGACAGAAGAGGGGGTTGCTGAGCTCTTTTTCCCTGGCCTCTCTTTGGTTCCCCACAGTGAGTTACCCATCGCCAACTCCCCTCTCTCCCTGGGCCCTCATGGTCAGGTGGGGCGATCTTCCTGGCTGTCAGTTCACAGCATCATGGACCAGAAAGGGCTTTAGAACCTCGGGATTCTACGGATCCATCAGACAGAATATGGCAATTGTGGTACATTGCCATCGTCCCTAATTCTTCACTCTCCCCATGTATCAGTGCCCTTTGCTATGTGATTTTGCAGTTGCTTCCACTAAATGGGCACATACACATCCCTTGGCACTGGGCTTGGCCATGGGACTGGCTCTGACCAATAGGATGAGTCTGTAGGGAGGGCATGCCCCCTGCTCAAGCCCAGGCCTTAAGGGACCTTGCTCATTTCTATTTGCTCTTCTGTCATTATCATAAAAATTTGCTAGGCTACATCACTGGTCCTAGGAGGAGTAGAGATGGCCCAGCTGGTACCGTACTAGATCAGCCAATGTTCAGTAGACCTGTATGAGTGACCAAAAGGGGCAGGGCCACCGGCCAGACCCAGCCTGACATCAGCCAACTCCAGAGAGCTCACAGAGGCTTGAGCTGCGCACTTGCTTCTTTTGTTGGCCACTGAGATGCAGCGATTGTTGGGCAGAAATAGAAAACTGATAAATAAATTAGTACAAAGAGTGGGTGCCACCATAACTAGGACCCATGACCTATGGTACTGGTCCCGAGAGCAGACAGAATGGTGAGGACAAATGAAACCCCAGTGTGCAGTGCAGTGGCATGGAAGAAAAAAAACAGAGCTAGTGAAACTCTGGACTTGGGTGAAGAGACCACCAAGTGTTGAAAGCATCAACTGGCCGCTTTTAACTGAATATTCTAAGCTTGCTTTATAAAAAAGACATGAGCACAAAAAAGACCTTCAGAGGGAACAAAACTTAATTAATTTAACTTTAACTTATTCCAAACTTGCTAGGTTAGTTTAATAAAAAACAAAACAAACCTGTTTCTTATTTCTAGCCTCTCCAGCTAGCAAAATGTCCTAAATTGTCAGAGCCTGAGAGCAAAGATTAAGTCCAAAGCCAGCCAGTGAGCCGCAGACCCAGGGTAAAGATCAAATCAGGGTGCGGCGTAAGGTAGTGACTCACTGACCCTCCTGGCTGAAAAAAGAGGGCATTACGGGGGGCTTAAGGGTGTTGGTCTACAGCAGCCTGACTTGCCCAAAATTCCAGTAATTAGGTTTTAGGAGAGAAGCATATCTGAAAAAGAACTGTGGGTGTGGCTTTTTGGCACATAAATCAAATACACAGAAAATTCACACTGTTTTTGAGAAAATTATATTGACAAAAATTCTGCCATCCTGGATGAGAAGAGACTGAGACAGTTTGAAATGTAAAGACTTCTGTGCCTCAACTTTCTACAGGTACATTTCCAATACTCTCTTTAGGAGGTGTCAAGGGAGGCTTGGGAAAAGGAAGGATATCTTGGAGGGCAGAAGCATGAACCTGGGGAAACCATGGCCTGGGGACCTCCTCCCAGGGGGGGCAGAGGAACATTCCCCACCCCCAAGGCAGGGGAATCTAGCAGTGTTTTCCCAAGGGCACTTCAGCATTGCTATGGATTGGTGACTGCATTCTGCTTTCTTGCCTCCTTCTGGGAAATGAGGGTTAATTCTAGTTACACTGTCCCTCTTTCACCACTGAGTAAAGGAGGAGTAGAAAAGTTGTGTTTTTAGTTCCTAGGCCTCTGTATCAAGAGAAGGCACATATAGACTTGATGTGATCTTAAGAGCCTGCACTTCAAGACTGGTGCCATGATTGGATAAGACTTTGGGGGGTGGGTCACTGATGGCAATAAGCATGTTTTACACAGGGGAGGGGCATGAATAACTGTGGCCATGAGGGCAAACGGAGGAGAATATATTAGTGAGCCCGTTCTTCCTCCTCTGTAAATCTATGCCCTTTTGCCATGCGGGAGGATATGCCGTTGATTTTCCCATTCTTTAACTTTGGGTCCAGAAAAGTGAGTCTCGGGTCATGGGATATTAATGGGCATGAGGGGACCAAAGGTTTGGAAAGTGCTTAATCAACTGGATTTGCTTTCTTGTGCCTTTGCCATCACTAGAACAAGAGCATTCATGGATTAGTTGGTTGGTATCAAGAGAGGAGAGGCATGTACAGCAGAGCTGAACTGCTCCAGCCCAGGCCAGCCTGGACTCGTGGATCCTCAGTTGACTCTGACACCAGAGCCAGCCCAGCTAAGATCAGCAGAATTGTGCAGCCAGCCCGGCAAATAAATGATTAAAAGGTGCAGTAAATGATTGTTTTTTTCAATCCTTACCCAAGGATATGTTTATTAATTTTTAGAAAGAGGAAAGGGGAGAGAGGGGGAGAAGGAGGTGGGGGGGGGAGAGAGAGAGAGAGAGAGAGATTGGTTGCCTCCCGTACTCACCCTGACCAGGGACTGAACCTGCAACCTAGGTATGTGCCCTGATCAGAATGAGACCTGCAACCTTTTCAGTGTACAGGATGATGCTCCAAACAACTGAGCCACCCGGCCGGGGTAAACTACTGTTGTTTTAAGCCAGAGATTTGGGGATTGTTCCTTGGGCATCATTACTGTGGCCATAGCTAATGGATAAGACCATCAGCATCCTGTTGGCATTGAGCCAGTGAAGTCTTACATGGTTTCATCTTGCTTGTGTGGGGGGGCTCTTTCTCTGCACCACCCTGGGGTTCCTGGGTGGCAGGGGGCTAGGTCTGCTCCATCTTGCTGCCCTGGAACTCAGGACAACCCTTTGATAAAGAGTTTTGAAGGGATTGACAGATGGCACGAATCGAGGAACAACTTTTCCCTGAGAAATGAAACCTGAGAAAAGGGGACCCACGTGCTCTGAGCAGATGTGCGCCCATTGGTCAAGAGTGGTCTGGGAACCTGAGGTCAGGGACTCACCTGCCAGGCAGGCCTCAGTGTCCCCACGGTCAATGAGGAGGTAGCGCGGGCTCTCAGGGAGCAGGGGCAGGGAGGCCAGCTGGAGCACCCCAGGCACCAGGCAGCTGGCCAGCAGCAGGGGCCAGGCCTGTGGGCCACCCAGGAGCTCCCTGGAGAGGTAGAGGGGAGGCCAGGTCAGACACCTCCTTGCCAGAGCCCTGCCCCCTACCTGTCTGCCTTTCCCCTATCCTCCTGCTCCCCGTCCCCTACCTGCCTGCCTGCCCTTTTGAGAATAGAGGGTCTGCACTGATCTGTGCTTCTTCCTAACCAGCTCTGGGTCTAGACACCAAGATCCCTCCCACCCAGGTAAGGACCCAAGAGAGGGCAGAGCCATGGCCCCACCCTATCCCTAACAACTCCTCTTTCCAGGACTCTAGGCTTTGCTGCCTCTTCTTTTCTAGGATGACCAAGGCTTGTTTCCCTTTAAAAGCCCAAAATTTCACCCTCTTCTCTGTCAAGACCTGCTTTTTGCTTCCTGACCTAGAGAGAATGGAAAAGTGTGATTCACACTGAAATGTGGCTGGCTGATACCCATTTTGTGTACTGACCAGATGGAAGTGGACAGGTTTCAATACCTTAATACATACAGGCAATGCCTTAATCTACTTAATAGGTAGGGGAAAATTTAAGCAAAGAAGGGTTTTCCTGGCACCCCTCAAACCACTCTGCACATGGAGGGGGGCACTTACCTAATTCCGACCACTTGACCCATCACAATCCCCAGGGCAGTGAAGATGGCTGAGGTCATGGCCACGGCTCCTCGGAACTCCTTGGGTGCACTCTCCCCCAGGTACATGGGCTGGATGTTCATGCTCACACCTGGACATGTGCACAGCAGAGACAGTCATCAGGCTGGACACCCCTGCAACTCCCAGGGCTGCCTCCCCCACCTCCTTGGCACCTCATCTACTGGGTCCTGGCACTGAGAGCTGCTCCCTCACCCCATGCGCCTAGAGGGGTCCCTCCCCACCCACAGGACTTCTGAGAGAGAAGTCTTTTTCAGATCAGCTCCCATCCTGTTCTCTCACCCCAGTCCCACCATGGTCATCAAATCTTTCTAGACCCTGTCACTGGGATGAATGTAAAGGGCTCTGAGGGAGCTGAGTGGGCAGTGGGAGGAGAAGAGAAGGTGGCATCTGGAAGCCCACCAGCTATCCCAGCTCTCACATCAACACTTTCATTGACCACTACTGCAGTAGGTTCTCACATCCAGCTTCCCCAGAGACACCTGGCACCCACGCAACCAGTGGGAAAAGAGAACTGGACAGCACTCCCACTGCCGCCCCCAGATGGTGACAGCTGGCAAAAGCTAGGAGGCCAAGTATTTGAGCACTTCGGTCACTTACTCTGGAGGGAACCAGCCACCATGGTGTGAGACCCACAGGCTGAGGACTGTAGCCTCCTGCCAACAGTCATCTTAGAAGCAGATCCTCCAGCCTCGTCAAACCCTCTGAGATGGCAGCGCTGCCTGACAGCTTGATCTCAGCCTCACGACAGAGCCCAAGCCAGAACCACCCAGCTAAAGCACTCCCAGGTTCTGATCCACAGAAACTGTTCAGATAATACATGTTGGCTGTTTTAAGTCATTAAGTTTTTAAGTTCTTTGTTTCACAGGACTAGATCACTAATATAGACACTGACATCTGGCTGTCTAAACAGTAGGGAGTCGAGAGGGGATTTGTTGATGGGAGCCTCTAAAAGCCCAGATGGATGTGCTCAAAATTCTTCTCCCTCACATGACAAGCCCCCAAAAATGAGTCCCTAAGAGGCTATTCTGCCTCTGTCTGGAAGAAAGATCACGTTGGCTGCCAGGAAGCTCATGGCTTAGAGTGTTACTCAAACACAGGCCTCCGTTGGTGCAGGTTTGGGGATGTTTGTCCTCACATTCTTGTATAACTTTTTCGTTTTCCTATATCCACTTTCAACGTCTAACTATATGAGCCTTTTAAGATAAACCATATTTAATCATTTTGCAAAATTAAGATGGGCATGAATGAAAAGTAGATCAATGACTAAAGAGAATAAATGAATGAATGATAGCAACAAGGGAATAAATGAATGAGCAGGAACGGAGAGGCAGGCAGGACTAGATGCCCTCCCCCATACCTGCACTGACTCCCACAAGCAACCGTCCCAGCATGATCATCTCAAAGGAGCGCGCTCTGTGGCTGAAGCCAAACAGGATCGCTGCGGCCACCACAAAGACGTTGCTCACCAGGAGGGACTTCTTCCTTGGGGGAAGTAGAACACAGGCAAGAGAGGCTCAGGTCAGTCCAGCAGGACTATTCCTGGGGACCCCTCTTTGCAACTCCAGCCAGCCCTAATCAGACCTCTGTGTGTGTGAACTATGTCAAGGAGCCTAAGCTACACGGGTGGAAATGACCCCTAGCCATTGCACCTGGGGTCAAACGTCATATGCCTGGAGGGGCGCCCTCCCCCAACATACCCCAAACTCTCCTTTCTGCCTGTACACAACTTGAAATGACAGAATTTGTATTTATGGCTTTATCCCTCAAATTAAGCACCACTCTCCTCAAAATCCTTTGTAAAGAGAAGCGACTGACATCTAATTCAGAACCTTCTGGACGGCTGGATGGTCCATGCTTAGTTTGACGGGACAGACTGCAAACGAGGAAGTGGGGACTGGGAACGTGAGCTGCTCCACCGTTGTGAAGCATCGGCTCAGGGCTCCTGATACTGAGTTCAGGAGTGCTGTCACCCACTTGTCAGAGCTCACAGCAGATCACAAGGCTCACTGTACTGATAGGGAAACTGGAGCTCGAGGAAGCCAGTGCTCTGCCTAAAGTCAACAGCACATCAGAGACAGAATACAAGATGAAGTTAGGTCTCCTGAGTCTAGAGAACAAAGAATGACAGTAGATTATAACAAACTGGATCCAGCGATAATGCCAATTGTAACTAATACATTATATTTGGCTTCCTCACTGGTATAAATTACTAAAATACTTCAGTTGTGGCTATTTATCTGGTGAGCATATTTTGCTGCATGTCAGTAGAGACATTAAGCTTTCACCTGGCAGGGACAGTATTAAACTGTTACTGACCTGCCTAGGAGATGTAGCAGCTCTGGGCCACAACCTATTCCACAGGGCATCCTGTTGGCCCATTGCTCTGATGATTTTCTACTGAAAGGGCCTGGAGGAGGAGAAGCAGAAAGCACCCTAGATGTCTTGGTAAGGTAAAAGCATGACGAAGAGAGGAAGCTTAAAAAGGAGGGAGCTGCCACATCAATAAAGTTCCTGACATCCGATGGACTAAGATACGTCCAAAGTGAATGATAAACGGTTGCCCTTCCTCTACAAAGGATGGCACATCTCAGAGGACTTCTTTTCATTTTGGAGGCTGCACATACCACATTGGGTGTCATGATTGGACACATTTCCCAAGTGATTTGAAAACCTGGCTGCTTTGAGTGGAGCTAAGCAAGGGGAGTATTCTCTAGTGGGTCCAAACTGGATGCAAATTTTGCCCCTTGACTCTTTAGACTTGGGAGATTCTGTGGTGCTCAAAGTCTCTGTGGCAGTTGCCTAAGAGAGTCACAAGCAAGACCTAGGGTTTGGGAGTAAAGCTACTCTAGTCCAGAAATTACTCTCCTCTTAATCAGAAATATCTCCTGGCTTGTCACTTGGCCCTAGGGGGAAAAAACACTAGACTGGGACACCTGGTGACCACATGCCAATCATGAACTGGGTGCCATAGGATATTCCTATGCTAAGGTTGAGTGCTCCTATAGCACTCCATCATGAAACAGAGATGGTAGATACCAAACTTGCCCCGGGTGGGTCCCAAAGAGTCCCGCGAGCAGGTAACTCACATCAACCACACTGCTACCCTTCTCACAGGCACATCCAGGGCCTCTGGTCTTTAGTTTAAAACAAAACAAAACAAAACAAAGCTTGACCCTGGTTTGCAGATGGTTGCATGGATACATGGGTTCTGCCAGAAAGGTAGAGCTATGGATTTAAGGTCCACTCAAAAGTGGCCCTAAAGAATATTGGAAGAATTAGACCCTTCCTATAGACAGAATCTTGAGCATGGAATATTGTCCCTTTTCTAAAGGGTTTGGTTGGATAGTCAAAGTCTTAGGTGGAACAGAATTTGAAGACTGGTTTCCAGGTATAGGGAAGTGTAAACATATGATCTCACAGAATTGGCCCAGAACCTGACCATATAAACATGTCCATGTTCTGCTCACCAGAGGCCCCTGCCACTGTATAAGAGGCACTTTATAATCAGGTGGCCAGGATGGCCCCCTCTGTGGTGGCAGCTGCCTTCCTCAGTGCTTGCTCCATCGGCTCGTAACGTAGCAGGTAGGGTCACAAGGATACAAAATGCACACGCAATCAAGGCCAGGGGCTTTTTGTCACCAAGCTGACTAAAACACCTTGCTACCCTACACAGCCAACCCTGACCCCCAGAAATGGCAACACATGCTAGGGCTCCAGTGAGCTACTGGATGGAAGATGAACTCCACTGGACCCCCGCCATGGGGATGGGAAAACAACTGGTTATTATTGGAATACCCATATGTACTGAATTTGAATCTCCAATTCCTCCCCTTCATGCTTCTGCCAGGTATCATTAGATATTCGGGCAACAGCTATTATTACCTTTCTTCCTTGCTGGTGTATATGATGGGATGACTGTTAGGAGGGGGCACGTATGGAGCTGGCTATATGGGTGAAAGATGTCCACGCACACTGGGTGGCCAGCAAAGGGGTGGACTGTGATAGTCATTTGTTTTTTCTGACTGCCACTGCTTCTCTCCCTTCATTTACAGGTGTAGGCATGTGACACATGGTGGGCCAATAACAATCCATCTTCCTGGATTTTGAATCTTGAATAAAGACATTGGTGACAGATGTGCCTGGAGTTGATGTGAAGCCATCCTCCCCCAGGGGGCAAGTACAAAGGTCTGGCTGTTGAGATCCTCAGCACCACCACGGATCCTGCCCTTCTCAAGGCCTGGCTTTTGAGCATTTGATTTCATTCTGTGAGCTGCTCCAGTATCCTTCCAGTTATCATAATTTTCAATTAATTCAGTCAGAGTCTGTCTTCCCTGTTTGCCACACAAAAACTGCATCAGTTGGACACAAAGGGGGAAATGAGGCCCAGGGAGAAAACACTTGTTTACAGTCAAACAGTATTTGTTGGCAGACGTGGAACTAAAACTAGAGCCCTCCCTCTTGCACAGCACGGACTCCTCCCTCTACCAAATCCTCGTGGAACTGTGACTCTCACAGTGAAATTACAGGCAGAGTAGGAGGCTGGGGCCTGCCAGGCACCTGCCTTCTCCCACATTCCTCATCCTGCACACTAGGGTGAGCCTTGTTAAAGGGCATTGGAGGTACACAGGAAGCACTCACCTTCCCAGCGTGACGGCCAGGGGCCCTGCAAGCAGCGCTCCAAAGAGGCCCCCCAGGGGGTACAGAGACACGATGAGGGACCACACAAGCAGAACCAGGTGGTCAGGCAGTGGCTGGCCAGTACGCGCCTGCCACGTCTGATTGGTGAATTCCTGTATGTGCTGTGAACAGAGATGCCAGTCAGCCTCCCAGGGAGGGGACTACAGGCGATAGGCCTTCTCCCCATCAGGGCTCTGCCTCTGCAGAGGCCCCAGGTCTCCTGAGCAATACTTCCTTGCTGTGGGCAGAACAAACTCACCTGAGCACAAATTCTCTTTCACACACAGTGTCTCCTGGAGCCTAGTGCTCCAGGACAGCCTCCATTTGCCGCCCTGAGCCCACTATCACCCCATCCCCCTGCTTTTGGCTGTGGAAGCCACCTTCATGGCCCCCATTAGTGGGCTCCCTTGCTGACCAGCTTTCTGTTGGAACTGGCCATTGGTGACCACCAGCAGGGCATCAGGGGAGGAAGAAGAGGATATCAGAGGGAAGTAGGAGGGGTGTTTGTTCCTGAACCTCAATGAACATCGACAGGGGCAAGGCCAGCATCAGCTGCTGGGAATTCACAGATGACTCCACACTGAGCACAAGCCAGCAGGAGGAAGAGATAGGCCCCAAACAACCAACACGCAACCCAAGTGACAGTGACAGCCTACCGCAAGGGTGGGGGAGGGAGGGGTGACTTCCAGCTTGGGGGCTGTTAAAGGAAGCCTTCAGGAAGGTGGTGGAATTTGGGTGGTTCTTGAAGGGTTCTGCACGTGGGGTGGAGAGGGCTCCTCAGCGCATTTGGGGAACTGTATAACCTGCTTGGGTAGTAGGGCTGGGGAATGAAGGCGGGGGGCAGATGAACAGGCTCTGATCCCAGGAAGCGTTGGATTTCAGGTGGGTGAGTCTAGGCACTAGGGAGACACAGAATGTTTCTTGATCAAACTTGAAAGGTTGCAGAAGGGGAGAAGCTGAAGATAGGGAGGCCAGTGAGGAGGCTGGACCAGCAATCCAGACAAGAGAGACGGTGCCTGAACCGGGGTGATGGCAGAGACACAGGGAGAAAACAGAGGTACATAGTTAAAAAGTACTTAGTGTCTGAGAGAGGGAGGGCAGAGTAAAGGCTGACCCCCAGGCACTGGGTGGACAATGGAGTCATCCACAGACATCAGGGACTCAGGAGGAGTTCGGCTTGACGCAGGGCTGGATTTGAACCTGTAGTACCTGTGGGACATCTCAGTGGAGGTGCGTGTGTGGGAGAAAGCTCCGCCAAGTGGATGCTGGCCCGAACCCCCACGGGGGCAGCTGTCAGCCCTCACCCAGCACCCACTCAGCTGGTGATAGTAGGCACAGATGGTACATACCAAGGTTGGGGCATTGATGATGGAGAGGTTATAGCCAAATTGAAAAGTCCCACCAATGCCAGCCGCACAGATGGTCAGGAACAGGACCTTGCCTTGAATCTAAGGAGAGAAGGGAGGGTACCAAGTGATTAATAACAGCCTCCCTCTCCCCCCCAGGACCAGAACCTACCAATTATAGCACTGCAATTTCTTTAAACCAGGCAGTGAGGAAACTGAGGCACAGAGGAGAGGAGTTACCTAGGTCACATGGCTGGCATACAGCAGAACCCCACTCTTCTCTTCAGAAAATTCAGTATATGCTGAAAGTTCTCCACTCTTCAAAAGGTACAACAGTGAACTACTTCCCTCAGCTTTTTTCCTAGGCATTCACAAAGTAGCTGGCTATTTAAAAATCAAGTCATTGATCTTTTCTCAGTAAATCATACTGCCTTTCTTGTTGTGGCAAATTGGCCTACAAATTTAAAGTGCTGCAAGTCAAGTTTATTATTTTTTTAAAACAAATACAAGTTTCATGGCAGAAGCATATGTGGCTAAAGATTTTCTGAAGAATTTCCAGAACCTGGGGACTACTTATTCATTCATCAGTCAAATACCAAGTGCCTGTCCCCATGCAGCCAGGGAAAAGACAGACATGCGTCCACCATTTGGTGAGATACTGGGGGCTCCAGAGGGCAGGATTCTGCCAGAGATCTTGCCACAGGTCTGGAGACAGGTCCATAACAGGTACCCTGAATGCCCATAGTTCCTATAAGGCCTATATAACTTCCTCCGAAGCTGGAAGCCATAGGAGGAAGCCAAGTGAGAACCCAGGGGTTTAGTCTCACTGTAGTCACATCAAAGCTCCATGTGGGCTGTGTGGAGGTGAGAGTGAAACTAAGACAGCAGATCTGCAGGCAGCAGCAAGAGACACAATGCCTGATGATGGCAAGTGAGCCCATGTGGCAGAGATGCTGGGAGGTCTCCAAGACAGCAGGAAATTGTTTAATTCATTGAGATAGTTCGTGGAGATTGCCTAGAACCATGACTGGTCATGAAAAGCATTCAGACATTAGCTATGATGGTGATTATTAATTCAGTGAACAAATATTTCTTGCCTCCCTACTGTGGACCATAAACTTACTGCTCTAGATGCTGGGATATGGCAGTGAGCAAGAGAGACAAAATCCGGGACCTCGTGGAGCTTTCCTTCCAGTGGGGGGAGACAGGCAATTACAAAATGAACAAGACCAGTGTACATTATGCCAGCTGCTGCGACTGAGACAGAAAGCAGGGAAGGGTGAGCAGGGAGCGTTTGGAGAGGGTGGCCCGGGGTATGCCCGGAGAAGGTGACATCAACACAGACTTAAAGGAGATAAGGGAAGGCCCCACGCAGAGAGCTCAGGGAAGTCAGTGCAGGTTCGGGGGACACCCAGAGAGGTGGAGGGCTGCCCCCATTCCCTCTGTGAAGCAGGACGTCAGGGCAGAGTTTAACAGGAGCCTGGGGGAGAGGAGGGTTGGGGAGAGGACACAGTGCGAGCGGCTGAGGCGGCCAGGATGCCAGGCGCGGGGCGTGTCTGCCGGGCGAGAGCCGGAGGGCGGCGCAGGTATCGCGAGGGACGCTCACGCGGGAGCCCGCGGCCCGCAGGCCCCGCAGCCTGCGACCCCACGCAGCCGGCCCGGGCCCTACCTGCCGACGGCCACCTGCACGCTCCTCTGGGCCCACACACCTAACTCTACTGTACACACAAGCGCACGGTATTTTTTGTACGTCTGGCGTCTCCGTGAGGCTTTCCAGAGAGGCTGCGCCTGTGCAGTGCACGGCGGGCCGCAGTTCTCCGTCAGAAACGCCGGGGCCGGGCGGGCTTTGGCATGCCGCCCTCTCCA